TTCTTCAAATGATACCTTTAAGGTAATTTTATAGTTTTGTGATATTAATAATGCTAATGTATTGATATTTTTCTAGTTTTGATTTAAGTTTGCTTGTTTAGCGTCGTCACAGTTGCTAGGTGACAAGACGTAAGGACGGGACGCTAGACCATCCAAATTCACAGCCTCTTTTTTTCCGGTCTACAAGGACCCGGCCCACCTCGATCGGGTAGTCTGGGTCCTCCGGAGGGCCCGGCCTGTCGTTTTGGACACAGCCGTTATCAGCTAAATTAGCTTTGCTAACGCTAAAAATGTCAAAAACTTGGTTAACACTAACAGCTAACTGCTAAGTCAACTGTCACTCAGTCTTCGTCTCCTTCCAGCTGAAGACTGGTGGGACTTAGCTTGTTAGCTGTCAGCTGACTTAAAATTGGCAAAACCTAATTTAGAGGAAGCTTATTGGCCCGCTAACAGTTTGCAAAGTATGTGAAAATGCTGCTCTGTTAAAGGGACAATTAGTCCCAATRTTAGCCGTTAGCGGCACCAAGGTTGTCAAACATCAAAGACGAGTAAYATTGTCTCAGAAATTATTGTCTGTCCTCAGATTAGCAATCTCTCCTGAGGCTCAGAAGTTATCGACACAGGAAGTGATTATTTAACCACCTTCTCACTGGAAATGTTTGAGTTTGATCCARAAAGGCAGTTTTCAAGATGGTGTCCATGTTCTCAAAGACCCCCCCAACCCCCAAACTCACTGAAGCATTCAGATTTTTTTATTTCTCTTTTGTTTATGAAATCAAACTGMGTCCTGAAACTTTTGACACATCTGTACTCAGAAAATGAGTTAATAAAGTTTAAATAAATTCAATAATTAAAACAAGCTAAAAGGATGGAAACAAGCAGCTGAAGGCTGAAATAAACCAGGTCCTTGTCGACACCGAGCAGAAACTCTTCGGCTGGCTCTTCTCTGAGCGGCGAGCGTTCGGCTGGCAGGAAGTAATTCCATCAGACGAGCAGCTTCTGGTCCAGCAGACCCGGCCGGCCGCCTGCAGAGCTCAGGGGACTGAATATCGGCGCTGCCGCGTGGCGCGTAACACAATCAGAGCGTCCCGCCAGATGCGGGCCGTGTAACGCAATAAACGCCCCGCGACTGGGATTACACACCCTCACCTCCAGATGAGATTAGGAGCAGGCGCCTCGCCTCGGGCACTCGCAGCCTGAAATAATAACCAGTCTGTGGCGATTAAAGCCCAGAAAAATAATAAAACCACAATAAAATGAAAATCTCTCCTCTTTCATTCATTCTCCCTCCTTTTTTATTGGCGGGAAAATCTGATTAGATTCTCAGCATCGCCGTGTCGAAGAGAAATCTGAATTATTTCATCTTTTCTTCCTCTTTCAGCCTCGGAGTCTCGCTGCTTTTCAGATTTTCCTCTTCAGGAACTCTCAGATCAAACTATAAAATCTGAGGAATCACCTGAAGGTCACAAAAATAAATATATTTATTCAGATTTAAAACAGCAGAAACCAAACATCTGTTTTGTATCAACTTAAAATGTAAAGTCTAGATTTTGATCTGAGCTGTAGGACTGTTTAAACGTGTCAAACTCAAGGCGTGTGGGCCAAATGTGGCCCGCGACAGCTTTAACTATGATTAACAATAAACTACATCTCCCATAATGCACCTTGCTTATTTTACCTAAAAACTGTTTGGTTTTTGGGTAAAACCAAACATCTTGTTCAAGGTGAATTTCACGTCAAATCTTCATTTCGCTGCATTTTTACCAGCTACATTTAACGTAATTTTATCGGTAAGTGGGAATTTCCCACTTATAAGTTGTAGATTTAATCTGGACGGACCTTCGGGTGGGAAACCCCTGTGGGAAAGTAGAGAATTCAAGATGGCAGCTACTCGCTACAACTCAGCTGTGAGTAAAACTATTACGTTTAATAGTATTTGTTTTATTTATTTCATATTCAGTCAGTCGTATATGTAGTACCTTTCAGTGTTTCTAAGAGGTTAAAACACTATTTTTATGCAGGAAACACCAGGTAGAGCTCAGTTAGTGTTTGTTAGCGGAGCTCAGGAACGTTTTAGTCAATGTTAGTTACAACTGTGATTGTCATGAAAATAAGCTTTTTCAATTCAAAAAATGTTTTCATTTCATTAAGAATAACTATATATATCCTCCACATGTCCTCCACATGTCCACATGTCCTCCACCTGTCCACATGTCCTCCACCTGTCCTCCACATGTCCTCCACCTGTCCACATGTCCTCCACATGTCCTCCACCTGCCCTCCGCATGTCCTCCACCTGTCCTCCGCATGCCCTCCGCATGCCCTACACATGTCCTACACATGCCCTACACATGTCCTACACATGTCCTACACATGCCCTACACATGTCCTCCACATGCCCTCCACATGTCCTCCACATGTCCTCCGCATGTCCTCCACCTGTCCTCCGCATGCCCTCCGCATGCCCTCCACATATCCTACACATGTCCCACACATGTCCTACACATGTCCTACACATATCCTACACATGTCCTACACATGCCCTACACATGTCCTCCACATGCCCTCCACATGCCCTACACATGTCCCCCACATGTCCTCCACATGTCCTCCACATGTCCTCCACATGTCCTCCACGTCCTCCACATATCCTACACATGTCCCACACATATCCTACACATGTCCTACACATGTCCTACACATGTCCTACACATGTCCTACACATGTCCTCCACCTGCCCTCCACCCGTCCTCCACCCGTCCTCCACCCATCCTCCACATGTCCCCCACATGTCCCCCACATGTCCTACACATGTCCTACACATGGCCTCCACATGCCCTCCACCCGTCCTCCACCCGTCCTCCACCCATCCTCCACATGTCCCCCACATGTCCCCCACATGTCCTACACATGTCCTACACATGGCCTCCACATGCCCTCCACCCGTCCTCCACCCGTCCTCCACCCGTCCTCTACCCGTCCTCCTCCTGTCCTCCACATGTCCTCCACATGTCCTCCACCCGTCCTCTACCCGTCCTCCTCCTGTCCTCCACCTGTCCTCCACATGTCCCCCACATGTCCCCCACATATCCTACACATGTCCTCCACCCGTCCTCTACCCGTCCTCCTCCTGTCCTCCACATGTCCTCCACATGTCCTCCACCCGTCCTCTACCCGTCCTCCTCCTGTC